ACACAAATAGTAGCAGCAAAAAGAAAGTTGCACGTGGGCAATAGACTGGACAATAGTGATGGAAGATAAAAAAATGTGGATTTCTATAACGTTTAGGTAATATTTCTAAGTTTTAATTTAAGGTCCAGTGTAACATTTAGGAGGATCTATTGGCAGAAATGGAATATAATATTCATAGGTATGTTTCATTAGTGTATAATTACCTGAATATAGGAATTGTTTTTGTTACCTTAGAATGAGCTGTTTATATCTACACACGCTGCAGATCACCTTCCATGGAGTCCGCCGCTCTGAACCGCCATGTTTTCTACAGTAGCCCAGAACAGACAATCCAAACACTGGCTTTAGAGTTTCACAGCCACTGTAGTTTCTCCTACAGACTTCAAAGCCTGTCAAATACAGACTCCAGCTGTGTACACACTGCGCCTTTATTACAGAATCACATTTGTACTAAGTATCCCAGGTCTTTATTTCTTTTCTAATTCTGTAATTCAGGTGGAGCTCTCCATGTCCATGACTTTGCCATGGCTAACGTGGAGTGGCTAGTGAAGAACGCGACCTATCGGCCCCACTGCTACATGTGCGTCACCGACAAGCAGTCCATCAGATTCATCTTCTCGTCCCGATGGCCCAAAGCGCTGCCACATTGCTCTCCATGGACCCTGCTGGAAACTCTCCGGGCCAAGATGGTCAACACCACAGAGCTAGACAACAGGTGACTGACTCTTGGATGCAGTTAATTTTTGTTCTGCATTTGTGCATGTTAGGACAAGCTGGTTTTACGTTTCACATTGCCTCTACTTTATCATTATGTCCACACAAAGTAAGTACTTGGAGATATCGGGGCTTGTTTACCACCTTTATGAAAGAGTCATTTACTGCTACAGAGGCCTGCCAGAATGACTATAAATCACTGAATAATTACACTGCTACTAGTGTCAGGTACCTGAAACCCACAAAAGAGGAAGTATACATCAGGAAATAATCCCTTAAAAAATGATGCCAAACAGACTTCATTGTTTTATTAGTCTCTATTTAGAACAACGTTTGCCAGGCTGGCAGTTTAATTTGTTGCTAGGTTTGAAAGGATACAGTTTGTATTTAAAGGTCTCTTCAAATTATATCATTACATTACTCAGTACTGATGTATTACCTTTTGAAACATCATGTTGTAGCAGGATATCAGTCTTTTTTAAAATCTTTTTAAGAGTATAGGATTTAATGACATCTACCACTAATTGCAACACCCTTGCCTCAGCCTCCTGCTCTAAGCGTGTAGGAGAATCTATGGTATCTTTGAAAAAAGGCCCTTATAGAGTCAGTGTTTGGTTTTTCCATTCTGGGCTAAAGTGTAGACGTATGAATAACACCATCCTCTCATATTCTCTGTTATAGGACATATTGCAGCTCCTTTGTGTATGTGTGTAGTTAGTTTGTGAATGAGTGAAAAAGAAAACGATGCAGAGGAGAAGAGAGCAGTGAAGTTGTGAATCTGGCAGAAAATGTACAGTGTGGGTTACAGTTTACCAGTGAGTAAAGGCTGCAGCTTTTTGTTGTTTCCTTAAAGTATGACAATCAGTTCGCCTACGTTGAGGGAAAACACAAACAAAGTAGGAGGTACCAAGATCAAGTAGAGTCAAGTCAAGCCATCCCAGGTTGCGGAAGTACGGCCGTAGTGTTTTCCAGAATGTTCCAGGTCTTCTGCACAGAAATGTTAAGAAATAAACGCCCGCGGTGGTAAGTGGACCCAAAATGACAGATAATCTGATCACAACCATGTCCTCATTCTCAGCATCATAGGCAACCTGACGCTCTTCACTGACCAGGACCCAGAGACGGTGTACCCCAGTCAGGATTTTATATGGGGCAGGTTTGAACAGTGCTTCCTTGCACTGTGGGGCCTGGTCACATATGCTCCTGTGTTCAGAGACTATTACTACCAAGGCCTCACCGAGTTCTACGCGGACAACGTCGTGTATCTGGAACTGCGGGTCCTACTCCCAGAGGTACAGTCACGTCATGCACAGCGGGTTCAGTACATTCACTCGTCTGTTCATTTATTGTTATTCAGTTGTTGTTGTTTTTTTGCGTTACACAGATATACGAGTTGGACGGCAGCACTCACGACACAGCCTGGACTCTGAAGACCTACCGGGATGTAAGCAGACAGTTCACAGCAGAGCACCCAGACTTCTATGGAACAAGATTCATCCTCACAATCCACAGGTGACTGCACCCTTACGATAGATTTCACTTATTAGTCTGAATGGCATACTGCTTATTGGCTCTCCAGAAGACATGAGAGGTTGTTGGTATTGTCTTTCAGGGGAGTAAATACATCTGTGATGACGGGTGCTGTGGAGCAGGCTATGAAGCTACAGAAAGACTTCCCTGATATCATGGCTGGGTTTGACATGGTGAGAGGAAACAGCAGTTATTGTATGAAGTGCTGAGCGCCAGTAAAGGTGACAGTGGGAGCAGTTTGAACAGACAGATTTTTAATTTCACCTATCATGCAGATATTAAAAAATATACGCTTCATTAGATCTAATACGACTCTTTTGAATCAGTGAAAGCAAGCATGACTTCTGTGTTTGTACAGGTGGGCCGTGAGGACAGTGGCAGACCGCTGTGGTACTTCAGAGATGCCTTGTCACTGCCAGTAGAGAGAGGGGTGGCGCTTCCTTTCTTTTTCCATGCTGGAGAGACCGGTGAGCTCATCAGTGCCCGATGTGTAAAACTTAAAACATTCAGTTTGTACCGTAACAGTATTCCACATTATATACTGCAGTATGTGGATCAGAAGTGTACATGCTGTAAAGCAGATGAGGTTTAAGTATGATCAACCTTGTCCAGGTTTACACTAGCGCTCAAAAGCTTGGTTCGGTACAGTCAGAGGACTACTGTATATTTTTGAAAGTCCTCTTTACAAATAGATGTTTATTTTTGTATGAAGGGTTTGCTTAAAAGTAAAAAACAAAACACTGGGTCAACCAGACTGACAGAGACAATGATACCTCTGAGCAACACTTAAAAAAGAATGAAAGAAATCCCCAGTGATTGGAAAAAGAAACTGCAAGCATAGCATCAGAATCTGTGCAGATTTAAACAGGAACAGGTTCCTGTTTCAGTGTCATGTGCACAATAATGACTGAATGAATATTATAAGCTGGCGTGTTAAAATAGGCATTAAAACTTCAACATAGTAGTAATAAAAGTTAGTGTAGGGTTAGCACTATAGAAATTGGATCACGGAATATCAGCTGAACATACTATGGACCGACAAATCACTACTAATCTAGCTTCACTTTTGCTTTTCTGGACTAGAAAACCATTTTTAAAATCAAAGGTATCTGAGAGGAAATCGGTTACAATGGTATTCTCCCCTGATGCCACACTGTGGGCACATTGATTAAAAGTTTAATTCTTCTTTTGGGCCAGAATTTATTTCACATTTTACATTTGGTGTCTGAATTATACTTTTTTGTTATCTATGTTAAAACAGCCTTTATTAAAGGAAAGAAGGAAAACACCAATAACAGTTGACCCCCAAACCTCTGAGCAGGTGTTTGTGTGTGTTTGTGTTTGTGTTTGTGTGTGTGTGTAAATAAGTAGCTGTCTGGATGTTCATGCCAAAGATTTTAAGTGCAACAATAGCTATATGTTAATATGGAACTCATTCTCAGCACAAACAGGCTACAATAGGAATGTTGTGTGTCTTTTAGGTAGGCAGCCACAAGGGGGAGCTATTAAATATACCATCAAAGAAAGCTGAGTTTGTTTATAGTCTTCTTAGGAAAGGACAAAATCAGTTTTAATGTTTAAATATTTTATTTATCACACACTCAAAGAAGAAATGTGGTTTCTGAGGATTACAGGAGGCAAATTTGTAATTTTAATGAACAAAGTGAGACCTGTAAAGAATAAAAAGTATAATCCCAAACTTTATCATAAGCATTATATCTGTCAGCGAATACACAAAACCAAAGAAATGAAATCTTTACCAAGAGTGGAATTAAATGCAGGGAGAGGAAACCGAATTAATTTAACATCTTCCACACTCTCAAATAACATTTCTCTGCACTACATGAAGATCTCGAGGGCACAGAGGTGGACCAGAACATGTTGGATGCTCTTTTGCTGAACACTTCACGTATTGGCCATGGATTTGCTCTGGTTCGTCACCCAGTGGCCAAAAGTTTATCCAGGAACAGAGGGGTGGCTATGGAAGTGTGCCCCATCTCCAACCAGGTACACTATCATCCTGTAAACCACACTGCGCAATAAAAACATGCATATTTACCAGCTACTAAAGTGTAACTTTTTTAATTTAACCTCCTATCCTCATTCAGGTGATGAAGCTAGTAAAAGATTTGCGAAACCATCCGGCAGCTGCACTGTTGGCAGAGAATCACCCATTGGTCATCAGTTCTGATGACCCCGGCATGTTCGGTGCCTCTGGACTTTCTTATGACTTCTATGAAGCTTTTGTTGGGTTTGGTGGGATTAGATCCAATATAGCCACCATCAAACAGCTGGCCATAAACTCTATTAGGTGAGGTTCAGCTGAGATGACAAGAGGTGTAACTTACAAATTACACAATTGAAATGTGCACGAGTCCTGAAATGCTTCAGCGGACCGCTCACTGACATTTCCCTGTCTATCTTTCAGGTATAGTTCGTTGCCCCAGAAGCAGCAGGAGGAAGCCCTGGCGCTGTGGCAGAGAAAATGGGATACGTTTGTCTCTGAAAATGCTCCTTAGAGAGAAACTCATTTTTTAATTCAAATGTTTCATTGTCTAGGGCATTCATCAAATGTGTCTTGCTTCCTTTGAGAAAGGAACGCCTTTTAGCAACTGTAAATGGGAATGTGATGTCTTTCTTATTATGACAAGTTGCTGTGAAAAAGGCATGTAGCTTCATGTTGCCATAATATGGAGTTACAGTGGCTGTGTACAGTGTGTTAGCTGGCCACTGTGAGACAGGCCTGAGCTACATCCTATAAAATTTAGGGTGATTACTTGAATTACACAAATGAACTGGCTTCAATCAAGGGCACCTTGTTATGTCTAGCATTTTTAAGGATTTTGAACGTTCGTGCACTTTAAGGTTCAGGTTTGCCTATGTTTTGAGGGACAGTAACGGTGCCGGACAGCACTGTTAACTGGCTGAGGTGCTAAATGATGTTTGAATTCTCTTTGTGGTGTTTGTGGCTTGCTCATGCTTTGGAAGAGTGAAACAGGTAGCTTGTTAAAATCTTGTTTTTAGATTTTTAGCTGTAATCGATTTATAAAGGTCATAGTTGACCTTTGCTCATGCAGACACATTTTATGAGAAACAAAAGTCACATCTTTTTTTGAAGCAGTGGGTAAGATGCATATGAACTAGGGCTGCACAATATGGTAAAAACATCAGAATGCCATTATTTTCACTGATTGTGATTGTGATATGATTCAGTACTTCACTATAATTGCTGTCACATTTTACCTTTATGACAAAATTGCAGCTTCTGCTATTTGTGTATTGCACATATAATATTTCAGTTAATTGTGCAACCCGAATATGAACAACCGTCTGCGCCATCCAGACGTATTAAATATTAAATGTTGTGAACAAAATAAAACAAATACGACTGTTGCTTTACTGCGTGGTTCAGTTTTTTTAATGTTCTTCTCATGTAGCACCACTATCAGTACTTATCCACTGTAATGAGCCAGTCCTCAGTGCAGCGTGTCAACCATCATCTGCTGCAGGTGTTGAATTTGGAGAAGAAGCTGTCATCGATGCATCCTCTTTCAATGTCCGGTCTCCTTAAAATAACACCAGTTTAGAAAGTGAGATGATGCTTGAATATGCTGTGTGTAGTGTAGAAAAACAGTTTTCTTAACGTTACTGACTGTTGTTTGTGTGTCTGGGCCAGTGCGACGTTGGTGCTGTCCAGGTGTCGTCTCAGCTGCTTGTTCAGTCTCGCCTGCTGTCTCTCTATCAACAGAGCTGTGCGAGCCGAGTCCAAGCGGACAAGATCATGTTGCTGCTCCTCATGCCTTTTCTCTAATTCCATCCTCTACAGATAACAGACAGACGGTCACTGAACAGCTTGCTATAGAGAGCTTTTAAATAAAAACTAGGGAGTGTCATTGGTTCCTGTTTTACCTTTTTCTCTTCTATTTGATATTTCTGGAACTGGACGACCTGCTGCGGGCTCTCCGGAGGGGGTCGTCTATCAGTGCCAAGACCAGACACTGCCTCCGTGCTCAGGGTGGGTTCAGCATCTGCACTTGTCAGCTGCCCTTGTTTCTCTTTCTCTTGTTTCTTTGCCCATCCAGATGCAGCAAAAAAGGTGTTGGTGACACAAAGTATCGTTACTGCAATTCAACAACTCGATTTCAATGTCTCAAATTAATCAAAATATCTCTTCAAAGGTCCAGGTGGAAAGGCTGAGCTGTAACTAAATCCTAGTGGTGCTTTAATCAAAGCCTGATACAACCCAGGTCACATCTAACTCTACTACTCATACATCAAGTCAGATGTGTTTGCGTTTTTAAGACTACCAAATACCTTTTTCTCTTTTGTGTGCTCTTTGGCACACCCAGTTTAAATGTGCATCACACTCCTTTCATTCTGACAAAAGAAAATTGATTGCTAGGTGTGCATCCTAGGTATTAAAATAAGATTCCGATTTTTTTAAATGAGAGAAGAAACCTGTTTTAAAAGCCAGTTTAACCACTTCAGCCGCCAGTCTGAGGGAATACCAGAATGACTTACCATGGCCAGATTGTACTCTTTAGTGGCAACAGCTACTGCTTTTCTTCTCTCCATCTCAAGGCGCTGAAGCTGCAGCGCCGTGTTGTCCATTTCTACTCTGCTCTGGTCACAGTGCTGCCCTGAAGAAGTAGAGCACATGAACTGAGCTTGTGTTTTATGTGTGAACATAGCATGTGTATCCTGTAGAAGATCTACCTTTCAGCTTTTGTTGACGCCTTTCTGCTGCTTGCTCACTCTGCTGCTGGTTGAGCCACTCTCTGAGCTGCTCCCTCTGTCTCTGCCTTCTGCTTTCACTGCCCGGGTCCTCGCCCACCAGGCCCGGGGGCATCATCTGTGCATCACCTGGCTCCATTTTTCTACAGCGGTCTGGGTCGTTAAGGTCATACTCCCGCTGGCTCCAAGGCTGCTGGTACTGATGCCGGTAGTTGACGATGGCCCTTTCCATCGCATGCTTCTCCTTTACTTGTCTGCTATGGAGAAGGCGAGCTAATTTGCTATTGTGGAGCATATCAGCATCTAGACGGAGAACACAACCCACGCACAGACATCGCAATGCGCTTTATTGTGAATGATAAACATGATTTAATTCTGTTTTCAGTCAGTGATGGGACATTGTTAAAGTCAGGTAATACTACGATGTTTAGCCAACTCACCAGAAGTATTTTGTGCCTCTTTTGCGGCCTCTTTTTGTTTGTGCTTTTCTTTCATCTGCATGTCCAGGGCTTCCTTGTCAACCTATAAAAACAGAGCAGGTAGTCACAGCACAATTAGACATTAGGCATTTACTCAAGTACTGTACTTAAAGCTGCAGTAGGTAACTGCTAGAAATCTAACTTTTGGTCGTATTTGCTGAAACTTTTCACTGCGTCTTGACACTGTATCCTGAACAGAAACATCAGAGACGAGAAACATCGCTGATACCAACGCTGGGAACGAGACTCGACAGGCAACCGTCTTTCTCAGCTCTGATTGGTTGTTTTCATTCAGGCCCGGTGGATTCTCGCAAATGCCATCGAACGCAAAGTTTTTCTTTACTGACTTTAAATGAAACATGTGTACCGAACTTAACTTCTTTTATTGAGTCCTTTGGGATGAAAAAAAAAAAAGATGTATAGAATAAAGAAACTATAAAAAATCACAGTATAAATAACCGAAGATAAATCTTAGCTACATTAAGATTAAAGTAAAAACAGAACAGCTAAAAACAATTAAAATTCTTAACTAAAATAATAAACTTAAAAAACATAAACAAAAAAGCTCTTAGGCTAAAAAATAAGAGTAAATAACAATTAATTAAAACAGTAAACCAATAAAACCTTATACATAATGAAATAAAAAAAAAAAGGGAGCAATAAAACAGATTAAAAAAACTTCTTAGTAAATAAAGAAGTAAAACAAGTTAAACTCTTAGGTAAAAATTAAAAAAAGAAAGAAACAAAAAAACAGTAACAATAAAACTTCTTAGCTAATTAAAAGTAAAACAATTAAATAAAACAGTAAACAAATAAAAAACTTGAGCTAATTTAAAAAAGAAAAAAGTAAGACAAAAGTAAAACAAGTAACAATAAACTTTTAGTAATAAATAAAAAAGAAACAAAAACATGTAAAACAAATAAACTTCTTAAGCTAAATAAAGAAGTTAAAAACAAAGGTAAAACAAAATAAAACCTCTTAGCTAAATAAAGAAAGTAAACCAATAAAAAATTAAACCAAATAAAACTCTTAGGCTAAAGTAATTTAAAGTAAATATAATAAACAGTAAACAAATAACTCTTAGGCTAAAATAAAAAAGCGTAAAAAACAAAACAAGTAAAAATTAACTTTAGCGCTAAAAATAAAAATTACAATAAAAAAAACAATAATAAAAAAAAACGTAAAAACAATAAACTCTTAGCTAAATAAATAAAGTTAGAGATTAGAATAAAAGAATAGAATAAAATAAAACAACTGTAGAGAACTGTCTAGAAGATAAATACAGATAAATATATAGGACTGTAACTGTTATATGGCATTGTGTTATTATACACTGGATAAATAATTCTATTACACAACATTTCAGAGGGATTATTGTACTTTTTAGTTGCTGTACAAATGAACATTTTTGCATGCAGATCATACAAGAAGCTTATAAAATGTGCTGCTTTGCTATAAATGTAATGTAACAGCTAAGTGTAATTACTTAGGCCTACATAAAGGACCTGAATACCTTTTACCTCTGCAGTAAAGGTTATCATTCCTCTGTGAGTCTCAACGCCAGCTTACCCCGATCGTCCTCACTCTGTCATTAAAGATCCGCTCCCGTCTCTCAGGCTCTCTGTTGCCCCGTAGACTTCTGCTGTCGGACGGCAACGTAGCGTTAAACATTTTGACTTTAAAGTGTTAACTGTATTGGTGAAAGTTTGTGGCGTTAAACCCGAAACGGACAGCTGGACCGTCCCGACAAAGACGAGTACACACTGGTTGCTAAGAAACCAGAGTTCGTTAGAGTTCGTAGGATTTCGGCTTTTTCCGGCACCGGCCACCACGAACGCTTGAGGCAACGTTTTTTTTTTTAATTATTATTTTGTATTCATTTAACAATATATTGATACTAATAATCAATACCAGTTCGCTTCGATAAGCAATTAAATATACAATTAAGTAATTAAATAATAATAAAAACAAACCCTTTGAGCACACAACTGAGCTACATTACTCTCATCAAATGCAAAGAATGAACACAGCTACACACATCTGTCAGTGCATCGACCTGCCACTAAGCCACACACACACACACACACACACACACACGTCTTTTAGCACTAATTAATCTGTGGAAGGCACCCGGCAGCTTTTAAAGATGTTGGGCGTGAACCTCACATGTTTTAATAACAATCATAATAATTCAAACATCAATCACTTTTACAAATCAATTTTATTTCTAAATCCATATAAAAAAAAAACCATGTTCAATATATGAAAATATTTCAAACACAGGCCTTTGTCTCAACACAACAAAACATGCATTATCCTGAGGTATGCTGCAAGTACAAACACTCCCCCCATGGTCTGTAAATCTGTGAACTAAATCCCAAATATGGCTGTTCCTTTCCTTGACACCACACAAAAAAAATATAAATCATTTTATAGTTTAACAGTCCTTTAGAAAACACCAAGATCCTTTATATAAAAATGAACACAGTACCTAGAACCATTCTGCATAAATGGGACCTTTGTTTGCCACGGATACTAGGACACAGTTAAAACACACAGCCAGTAATAAAATGTCCAAACAGAAGATACCACCCTGCCTCAAGTACAATTGTGGGTTTAACAGACTGTAATTCAGTCATACCAGTCATGCTGGAATTTATTACAACTATTGACAGACAACATAGATGTGGTAAATAGGTGTAAATGGATGGTGCTGTTGAACAAATTAATTTACCTTTCAACAGGTTCCCTTGTTCAAAAGTAATCCTATGTGAACAATCAACAATAAAAAGACAAATACCACAGTATAGATTTAAACCTGTGGAAACTGTCGTTCTTAAAGGAAGTCTTTGTAGAAGGTGACTTGATTATCAAGTTGTGTGTGAACTGCACAGGGCACTCATCCTGACCTTCACTCATCTATCAACTCGGTTTTCTTAAACCACTGTTTCTATACCTTCATTTGTCTTTACTTCATTCACTCTTCCTTCACCTTTACCTTGCTGCCTTTCTCTGGGTGGAGGCCACTTTCGTGATGTTTTTTGATGACGCACAGTAAAGTATTACAGTTATTGTTCTTCTTCAAATTCAGTACAGCCAAGACCTAATTAAAGCAAGGCATAGCTTAAACACTTAACTTTTGTTAAGCCCCAGGTTTTAATGCGAGGAAAATCCAAACGTCCTTTATAAGCAGCCTGAGGTCAAATACTGTGTCAGTAATGCTCCCTTCCATACAATACCTAGAATATAGACATAAAGGCAAACAGCTTGCATATTACCAACCAGAGTTATGCTCATTACAGCATTAACTCCACCAAACCCCTTTTTTGTTTGTTGTCAGTTTGTATCAAAGGAAACAAAGCCTGACAAGTCAGACCAACCGAGTTTGCGGGATAAACGCTTGTGAGAGACTGGATTCATTAAATGATGTAAGAGAAGCAGACTCCTGGTTTTAGTAAAATCCACTGATCTGATCGTTATTCCCCAAAGTGTTAGACGATCAAATAACCTTGAGAGCTTCCCTTTAATGCATTTAATCTGATCAGCACAGTGGATTTGACAGTCAGAAGAATTTAATCAGTTTTACATTTGGACCTTGAAACATGAGAAATAGACCCAAATAATATGAGATTTGCTCAATTCTTGTCTTGGAAATTGGAAGTCCACTTTTCCACAATTTCCACACTTCAGGTTAGTATGGTTAAAGGTCCAATTTGTAGCATTTAGGAGGATCTATCGGCAAATGGAATATAATATTCAAAGGTTGCTTGCTGCTAGATGCCGCAAAGTCTCACACACAGGTCCTTTAACGTTAATCAAAATAACCTGGCCTAAGCAGCTGATACACAAAGAAGGAAGATGAATAAATAGTAAAATAAGAATTACTTGAAGCCTTAATGTCCATTCATAAGATGTTGTTATCAAAATTCTGTTTTTTTTAGGGAAGAGTCAATACATTTCACAAGATTTATAAACAACTTTTTACATGCCAGATATATTTAAATAATTACAGAAGTCAGAGAGGCAGTAAAATGTCATTGCCTTTCTTTCACATTTCACACATTCAGGTGTTATTATCTACTGACCTATGAGCTGAGAAGTGCATTTCTTGTTGGCCATGCACACACTTTAAAAGGCTTTGATTATGTTTTGAATTTCCCATCTTTGGCCTGAGCATTCCTGTATTAGAAGTGTGCCTTTTATAATCTCCAGACATCTTTTTGTCTGTCTGTTCTTCAGTTCTTTGCCCTAGAAAAGAGAATAATTGTCAGTGCTCATTCAAAGTATGTCATCATTTAATATTCAGACAACCACAGTCAATATTTTAAGCTATGGGAGTCACCCTAAACATATCCACCCTGTAATTTCAATGTGTTGTAATACCTGAGTGAAGTCCCAGTAAATCCCCATTCCCTTCTGCATGGCTTCTTTGCAGTTGTATAGCCCAGGCACCGTTTCTTTTTGTCCAATGTCAGTTAGACACCGGTTGTCATTGTACTTGTGGGACTTGATGCCGCCGATGTAGAGCTCGCCATTTTCACGATAATAAGTATACTAAAAAAAAAAAAAAAAAGCTTCAGTAAGCACATTGGGCACAATAAGACAAACATTTCCAGTTACCACGTCTAACTTTCCAGAGACTATCAACTTTAATTTCTGCATTTACTTACTTGAGGTCCATAGTAATAGCAGCCGTAGGCGATGGGTGTGTGACCTGGGACCGGGCCTTGGTCTATGCACATGTCAGCATCAAGATTCTTCATCTGTCAGTGGGGGATATTATTGGTTTGATTCAAAGCCAGGGAACATTATTAAACCATGACATAGCAGGACACCCTGCATTAGAGAAAACTAAACTTACTCCTCCAAAGCCAAGTAGGTTGTCCCACGAATCCAGCTTGGGATACACGTTATCCAGGTACCATTTGAAAGGTTTACAGTTCAGCCTCTCTCTGAGTTTTTTCCTCTCAGTGATATCCCCGATGTCAATGCCGTGGTTCTGCAGAGGCAATGAATATGACATGATTGTGATATTCTAAGTGAAGAAAGTCAAACGACTTCACTTTAATTTAAGAGCTACGAGACAGTAAAAAAATTCTCTCATTCCTAAATATAAGAAAAGCTTTTGAATGTCCAGTTGTTCATTCTGCATGTAGAAGCATGCCATAGGATTAGAGACTTTATTGTCATCCATATGTATACAGTGCAGTACAGAGGAATGTTTCCCCTCATCCCCGGTGCAAAACAGAAAGAATGAATGATTCAACATTCAGACCAAGGTTATTATAGTTAACTCAAAGTAGTTCTGAAAATTAATAAAGTTTACTGAAGAAAAAAAAAAAAAAAGAAAAACTTTGAAAACGAACTGAAACGATAGCGTGTACTTATGGAAATAAAATCATATATAGGAAATGTCTTTAGTTTTAGTCTTTGTCAATTTGGTCAACACAAGCTTGAAGACATATTGGTGCAAATATTTGAGTCGGGGATGTTTACACTACTGAGAGTATTGTAATAATATATTCTGCACTTCTTAAATCTCGTTTCCCCCCCTACAACTAATACTAAAACACAATACAAAAACAAAATTGTTAAGCAATAATAGTAAGTAAACCCACTCTGAAACTTAAAAACCAAATAAAAACTATAAAAATACAAATCTATAGTTGATTCAGACAAACATGTAGTGCAATACACATGACAAATATAAGTAAGCCTCATTTTTGTTCTTCCTGACTGCATTTGAAGTACCTCAAATGGTATGTTCCAAGCTAAGTTGATGTTGTGTTTGTATTCATCCATCCAGACTTCTGCTACCCTCAGGGCGTTTCTCTTCATGGCAGGGCTGAGGTCAGGCAGGTAGGGCTTGTGGTACCTCTCGATGTGGGCGACCTTGGAGCATGGAACTACTTCGACACTGCCTCCACATGTCCACACCTATCGGTCACCAAAAGATGATTGTGTCAGACCGCAAACACTGCATGTCTGTGTACAATACTTGTAACAATACAGACAGGATTTTACAACTTTTATCCTCTGTCTGAGGTAAACCGTTCCAAAGTGAGAGGGTTAATGTATTTTTTCTTGCTGCAAGTTTGCCTGGGATTGCATCTTCAAGTTTAGGATTGGATGTTGGATAGGCGAGGCTTACTCACACGAATTCCCAGCTCAACATTTTCTCCGCCATACACTTTCATTCCTTCGTCAAGGACTCCAATTTCTCCAAGAAACGCCCTGTCGGCGACGAAGATCCCCATAACGGATGGACTCCTGAGGTGGAAGAAGAGAACTGTTACTACTGGATCATTTTAAACATGTTGTACAGAGTATATCAGTATTACCATAAATAAAGCTAAATAAAAATATATCCGTTTGACACATATGTAAATCACAACAAGACTGACTGATTTTACTTACTTTCCAGGCAATGAGCCGTCATTGAGTTTGTAATACTCAGGCGTAAAGCTTTCATACATGCACCATAAAGCCCAGTCGAAAGCATGTGCCGCTGGAAGGTACTGAATAACCTTGAGGTCGTCAAAGTTGACTCTGTCAAACACAGGGGACACCACCACTGTTCGGTCACCTTTGATCTGTGTCAGCAAGGGTTCAACCCTGCGTGAGGGGAAGGGAGGAGAGGCAGTTCACACGTCACTGTATTAAACTTCCTTCATTTAAAGAGCTACACAGTGGTGTTTTTGTTATGTGTCATTGTTCTTTATTGAATAATTACCAGTATCTAGTATTACCAGTAACAGAGAGTTGTAGTTGAGTAGTACATAGGACTGGCATGTGTCAGTGCCAGTCATTTCTTTAGTAGTAGTCAGTCTGCCTGCTTTGATTAGGCTTTCCAAACAGGCAGAGCATACCAAGCCTGACTTGTTGATGGGATCCCAAACTATCCCAGTTTAACAAAAGCCCAAATGTGAGGCAGGATATTTTTGGCATCACCAGAGTAAGTTTGTGCCTGGTGGTGGTGTGGATACTTCCCTAACAGTGCAGATATACTAAACATTGCAATGTTGTCAGTGCTGGTGGTAAGCATGAAACTTTTAAACTAATCTCTATATAAAATTAAATTTGAAAAAACAAAGGTTGTTTAAGAAGACACGATTACTTAGACATTTCATGTGTAATCAAATATTACACATAAACCACTGAAAATGTTATACATGAATCAGTGTATAAAATGATTTTTCTTACCACATCTCATGGACTTCAATGTGTGCATCCAGGATGGCCACCACGTCCGCAGTGGCAGCCCTCCACCCAGAAGCCCTGGCGTGAGCGAGGCCTTTCTGCTCAGTGTGCTTCACTCTTACAATACGGAGACCCGGGTTCTGCTTCTCAAGTGACTTCACGTAATTGTCAAGGTCCTCCTTCAGGTCCTCTGAATTGAAAAGACAATGTGGGCATATATTTCTTTATATAAGGGGAGATCAGGCTTGACAAAAATGGTTTTTTTCTTATGAGCAAAGTTAGACGGGGCAATGATACTAGTTTCCACACCGATTACCCAGAATGCAAAACAGACATTAAGCATTTTAAATTTTCATTAGGAACCACAGTTCTAATCATAGACATGCCTTCGATTTCAGCTGTCTGATATGAAGTTGTTACTAAAAATGTACTGATTGAGTACTGAAAGGGGTTTCTAATGTTTTGTTCACCCATGTGTGAACGTTAGGGTAGAAAAACAGCTATTGCACTATTTACAGCCTTGAAATGAGTGGCCATTGTTTTACACTGTATGCGCTGTGTGGAATAGAGTGTGTGGAAAGACTGATACCACCATCATCTTTGTGTGGTAAATATAACACTACAACCAGCACCTGGATAGATAAGCTAGGCATAAAGACTGGAAACATGGGGAGACAGCTAGCCTGGCTCAACAAAATCCACTTACTAGCACCTAAAGCTCATTAATAAATAATATATGTCTTGTCTGTTAATCACATACAATAGCAGGAGTGTAAAATGAGAACTAGCAGGTTCCACGTGTGTACAGACGTCACGCTAATCAAAGTGGTTCATTCCAGTTTGTGGTATGCTAACCTAACCAGTGTACAATTGTAATTGAAGAACATAATCTGCTGCTCTGTACTTCATAATGCCAAGTACTACGTAAGAATATGAGCAACACTGGCGCCTGAACAATGAAACATATCAGTTCATCAATCCCTCCCAAAAAACACCACCCCTGTGCACTGTGTAAATACAAGATAAGCTTTTGTTTTTCCCCTGTGATGTTTGCACAATCTGATCCCTTTATAACCAACCAACCATTAGAGCTATTGTCGTCCACCATTATTATCTCCTTCAGCAGGTTTTTGGGGGTGCGGTCAATGATGCTGCGCAGGGCTCTTTTGAGGATAGACAGGGCCTCGTTCAGGTAGATCAGTACCACTCCGACATTTGGCAGGTCCTTTGGGTAAGTCTTGTTTGCACACCTATTCAGAAACAAGGATTTGTGTAACTAAAACCACTATCTTTTGCACCAGTAAACTTTAAAAGCTCTGGACAAACCGAACTGAACAAAAAGACGAAGGATAATTGGCAAACAATGAACAGGGTGGAGTCTATAAGTCACAGTTTTTGTTTAACCTTTCCCTGTGTATGAAGTGTAATGACAGGTTTAACCGCACAGGAAATGATCATGAAAGCACTACCTTGAATCTCTTGTATCTAGAAGAACTCGATCCAGAGGGAGACGATCGCTGAGAAAAACGTTGTATCCATACTTTTGAAACAACCCCTCTGCCTCTCTTTGGTCCTCCTCAGAAAGATTCTCTCCCCAGTCCTTGAACAGAGCAGAGTCAGGGAACACTTTGTTGGTCTTTTTCTCTTTGGGGGCCTCCTTTGGTTCCTGGATCTTTGCTTCAGGTTGCTCTTTCGGCTCTGGCTGCTTTTTGACTGATTCCTGTTCGACCTCTGCGGCTTTTTTCTGTCTGCCTCTGTCTTCTTCGAGCAGTTTCTGCATGGCGTCCTGCTTTTGCTCAAAAGCTCTGAGCACTTTGTCTTTGAGAAATCAAAGATGACAGGGAGAGAGGAGCATGAGCCGGAGACATGATCATTTTTTGCAGAAAAAAAATCCCCAAAACATCAAGAAATTGTTTTCTAAATCAAAATAAAGCTTTGAGTTCAATGTTCTCCTGATTGATCCTATATAAAGACATCATTGTATTGATCCCCAGGGGAAAATGAGGTATAATATAAGAAATATAAAGTTGTAAAAAACTTTATTTGATTCTATTGCTCATAAATATGAGATCCAAGTTCAACTATCAAGTTTGATCTCATTATATATAAATGCTATTCTTCCTCCAGCCAGTACACTGGTGACACACACTGATATTCCCTTCATTTGTCAACATATAAAACCTTTGAGGAACTGACAATCCTTCCACTAACCTTTCTAAAAAAAACACTGCTAAATTTAAACTCAACCTGATTTTCTTTCCCGACGAACAGAAGCAGAGTGCACATTGAACACAGGAGAAAGAGTAACCTTTGCCTCAACTCACGGAGATTGCTGATGCTTTCCTCCAGGTCAGAGAAGCTCCTGACCATCCGCGGCGTGTCCCCGGTGTCAGCCCCCGCCGTGCGCTCATCATACCCACTCTTTACAAACATGCCTATGTACAAGAGGAGCCCAATCCCCCCCAAAATGAAGATCGGCCGCTTTAACCACACAGCTCTCATACTGATAACACACCGACTGACACCTCCTGAATAGATTCCTCTTATAGAAACGGCAGTACACGGAGAGGTTGCTCAATTAACGGGTTCGACCGGCTGGCCAGATGCTGCATGATGATTTTTTGGTTTTGTTGGTGAAACATTGTGTGGTAGGCTGCAGTGCGAGCGAGGTGAGCAGTGTCCCGCCCCTGACGTCAGGTGTTCCTAATTAGTGTGGGTGGTGACGTCAGGATGTCACCTGAAGTTTGATCTCTGTTTTTTTTTTTTGGCCCCATTCCTGAAAGATATTTGTGCTTTTATTTCCCAGTCTATTGTTTCTGATTTGACCCTTTTTATATGAAAATGTACCCCCTCTACCAAAATAAATCTATAACATCAGTTTGCTCTCCTGCTTGCAAAATTACACATCCACAAATCTAAATTTTCCAATCATAAACCAGCTTTTTTTTTATTTTTGAAAGTGAAATCAAACAATACTTTACTCCTATACTGTGAAAATAAGAAAGCAATCCAAACTTTAACTAATTTATGATTTCTGTGTGTCCCTTATATATGTGTCCCTTATATATACTGTCAATGGTCTGTTCAGCTATTGTATGTTTACCTGTGTGTAAATAAAGTTAATAATAATAATAATAATAGCTCCATATAGAACCCCTATTCAAAATACTTTCCGCAGGTATGCAAATCGTTTTTCTCTGTGTCTGTGACCACCCCTGCAATATGATTGACAGCTTCCACTCCCCACTGTCTCTTTCTTTTAGGGGCATTTCTGCAGACTACAAACGCCCATGCCGGAGTGGCCATAGGAGGAACACATGTATAAATATCGACTCGAAGTTGGATAATGTCCACACAGCAGCCAGGAAATGTCTTAAGTTTTAGTCTTTGTCAAATTTGTCAACTCAGAAAGCATGAGGAGGTATTGGTGCACATGTTTATTGAGCCTGGGATGTCTTTCCAGCCCCCCGCCCCCCACGCTTGCTTTGCATTTTCAAATTGTATCATGTAACAACAAACCACATAATGTTTGCTACAGAGAAAAGCCTGCCAGAGCTTCATTCTGCCCGCCTCAGCGCCACCACTTTGCAGATTTTTTTGATTAGCCAGGAGCCTGCGGGTGCAAGATAGCAACGGCCAGAGCCAGAACACTTTGAGCTTCACAATGGCTCTTTAGAAACCTGTGGGTGACAGTCTATGCATCAAACACAGTGTAATTAATGACACCAGTAGCAATCCATCTCCTGTAGGTAAGGTAGCAGTGCTAGGGATTTGCAGTAATGCATGCAAGCTCACTGCCACACCTAAAAACACATAAGCAGTGCAGTTAAAATACACCTCTGTTTTTCTATTGTCAAATAAAATGCGTGTGACAGTGGAGTTACAAATGAGTGGGTGTACACTACATACAATAGTGTACTGCTTATATTAGGTGTGGTTGCTTGCACCGAGACATGACATGGCACGAACAGTCTGACAGGAAGTAAACATCTTTAAAACATGTTACAAATCATGTTGTGACAATGAATATAGGTAATGTCTCAAAAACATGTTGTTTTGAATGTATTGTAATGTATTAGCATGATTCAGTACAAAAAGTAAATAAGATCCCGTTTGTCATTATCCTCTCGTAATACATTCTGAATTTAGTTTAAGCACTAAACTTAAAAACTTGTAATGAGATGCTCTATCGTCCAGCTCTGTCCACTGCACTGCTGAATGATGAGCTCATAGTAAGAGTTTTCTCCCTGGGCGACTTCAAGACATCTGTTGGTTGCTTTGTTTCTGATTGCTTGGCCCTGCAAAAGTCAAGATGAGACGCAGCATGAGTGCTTCCAACGCAATATTTTAACAGGTAGTATCTGAAAGGTCACTGCAATGAGGTCTTATAATACTACCACAGTTGTTGCCAGCTAAGGTCTTACTTGTTTGAAGTCCCAGTGCATGTGTAGCTTGTTTAGTTTTGCGATCCGACACTCCTGCAGAGTGGGAGTGTTACCAGAGCCCGGGTCAACCAGGCAGCGGTTACTGTTATATTTGTGAGATTTAATCACCCCGATGAAGATTTCACCGTCTGTGTTGTAGTAGCAATACTGTCGGAACGGATACGTTTTTTAATTTTAAAAGGCTGATTTATCGATAATGTTTCTGTATTGTCTGTCTGCCTTCTTAGATTACCTGTGGCGGCTGGAAGTGGCATTCATACAGGATGGGGATGCTTCCTGGAACGGCTCCCTGGTCCACACAATAGCTCTTAAGAAGGCTGTTCTGCAGCTGTAGAGGTCAGAGAGTTGTCTATTTGCTTTGTGTTCAATCACAAACTCAGCATATAGACAGTGCTATGCCACGTTCTATTGCCACATTTAGTATAAAGACTCAATGAATACAGTCGTTTAACAGATTTCTTATCTTGAATTCACTTTGTAAATATGTCAGGCTCACTAATACACGTTACATAATCAAATGAAGGAGTGAAAAATGCCTCTTACCGCACCATACCCCAGGAGGTTATCCAAGGTGTCAAGACTTGGATAAACATTGGCCATGTACCACTTGAAGGGTTTACATTTCAGCTTTTCTCTGAGCTTCTTCCTCTCCGACACGTCGCCAGTATCGATTCCATGATTCTGTGTGCCAGATCAGAAGGTGCTTGAACAACGCAAAGGTTTTGGTAAAATCTATATTGAGCTAAATAATAAACCTCCTACGTATAAAGCTGAGGGAATAAATGTGGAAACTCTGACTCTAACAACAGCTTTTAATATAATTATCCCAGGTATAAAGTAAATAGATGCAGTGTTGACTAAAAAATGTTGCAGTCTATCTGTTTACTACTTTTAACATCCCTTTTACACAAACATTTGACTTGTCATAAAAGTCTAGAGCACAGGTCTTCCCAATGACATTATGTCTCTGTTTTATTCAGGTTCCTACTGTGACATGTTACCTCTGCAGCAGTAAAGGTGCCTCTATTTGTGTATTTAGCCATATTTTGGTAAAACAAAAGGGTTTTAAACCCAATGAGCAAATGGATGGATGGAGAATTGGAGCATGGTGTAGTTTCAGATGTTTCTTTGTTAATACTGTTTTCCCCACTGTGATAACTTGTCACCAAATTGTAATGGATATAAGGAAAGTATGGATGATTTAATGATGTTAAATGTTATGTAAGATTTTTTAAATTTCCATTGAGGTTTGTGCCAATTATGGGAGATCTACTGAGTACAGTAAAACATGGCAAAAGAAGGGCGAGCTGGCAGGTTTGGACACTCCTGTGCTTATGATGTTGATTGTAATGTTTGACCTGTTGAGGTTCCTTTCACAGACTTGATGAGCAGTTTCAGGTGTGACTGAGATGTGACTCAACAAGCTGAACAATGCCAAACAAAAACAAAAGAAAACAAACAGCATAGCTTACATCAGCATTTTATTGATGTACTGTGTCACTGGTAGAGTTAGCTGCAATATGAAATCATTTCTGGCAACATAAATACCTCAAGAGGAAGGTTCCAGGCAATTAGGACATTCTTCTTGTAATCATCCAACCAGATCTCTGCAACCCTTAAGGCATTTCTCTTCATGGCAGGGTTGAGATCAAGTGCGTACGGTTTATGTGCCCTCTCAATGTGAGCTATCCTAGAGCAAGGCACAACCTCTACACTTCCACCACACAGCCACACCTGAGCAGTCAAAACACAGGAGGCCATCACGTAAATCTTCAACCTGTAAGGATTTTAATGCTGCACCATGTTAAATTCTTATTATGTAACAGATTTGGCTACTCACACGAATCCCAAGTTCAACATTTTCTCCCCCGTAAACTGTCATTCCACCATCAAGCCCTCCGATTTCTTTAAGGAAGCCTCTGTCTGCTGCAAAGATTCCCATGACAGAGGGACTCCTGTCCCAAACAAACACAGTGGTAACGCCGCTAGTAACATGCCAACATTTGTACTGCCTAAGTGTGCTTGCCTTTTAGATAAGATTGCAAACAGGCAAGGTCTTATGAATTTGTACACTTTTATTGTATAATATTGAGAAACACCTAAAACTTTTTACTGTTTGAGAGTTATTCAGTATGATTCTATCACCTTTGTCCAAAGTACATAGGCTAAATGTACTGTGAGAAAAACCTATTGAGAACATTAGACACAAAACTGGGAGGTAGAACTTTACCTCTAGATTTTCCACTAAAGCCCTACTGTAAATATGTAACTGTGCACATACAAGGGCTTCATCAGGTCTAAAATAGCTGGATGCTCATTTGTCTAAGTGTCTAAAGTTAAATCTTAAGCTCAAAGTCAAAGCAACCAACCAATCCCTGAAGAGAACTCCAAAACTCTATATTGCCTGTTCCACCTACCTCCCAGGCTGCGATTCATCCGCCATGTTCAACCACGCTGGGCTGAAGGACTCATACATGCACCACAAAGCCCAGTCAAAGCCGTGAGAAGATGGATTATATCTTTCCACATGTAAGTCATCAAAATGGACCTTATCGAACACAGGAGACACCACCACCGTCCTGTCGGCCTTGATCCTCGCCAGCAAAGGTTCTGCCCTGGAAATGACAACAAAGTGAAACAGTAGTGTCACCTGAAAAGGAGCAGGTGAGATGAATACATTTCCAACAGTATTTTTATAGGATTATAACAGGAACTTGAAGAAGTAAAGAAATTTCACAGAAAGATGTACATACCATCCCTCTGTGGCTTCAATATGGGCATCCAAAATGAACACAACATCAGCTGTGGCACGCTCCCAACCCGAGTTCCGGGACTGGGACAAGCCCATTTGTTTATTATGCCGCACTTTCTTTACGAGTCCAGGCCTTTCTTTGTGAATCTGAACTATGTAGTCGTCTAACGGTTTTCCAAGGTCATCTGAAAATGTAGTCCACAGTCAAATCTATAAATAAAGGAGTACAGATGACTACAACAGCTAGATAAACTCAATTAGGAGGATGAAAATACCAGTCCCTTTAGGAAGTTAAGTTGTTGAGATCACAACAATTAATGCAAATTCAACCAATCCGTGTGAATTCTGCGCAACCTTTTTGTCCAGACACATCCAAACAGTGCATTTTTATCCCGCTGAAACAAGTTGCCTTTGATTTTTTCTGTTTTTGTAATTTTGACTTTCTCCTACAATTTAATTGCAAAAACAATGCAGAAAAACCTTGAAACATGCATTGCTCTTTTTTTGTAAAAAGCTGCCACGAAATTAGACATTTTAGGCTGCAACGATCCCCCCAAAAAAGCCCACAAAATCCTGAATGGGCTTGAATACAGACATTAGAAATGGAAAATCCTCATGCTTTATAACAAGTTAAACTTACTGTACGTGCTATAGTCATCCACCAGAATTATTTCCCTCAGCAGGTGCTTTGGCGTGTGGGTGATGATGCTTCGTATTGCCCTTTTAATGACAGAAAGAGCCTCGTTTATGTAGATCAGCACCACGCTGACGGTTGGCAGGTCCTTTGGATAATTCTTCGTCAGACATCTAAATGTGTGAGATGTAGTGACAGGTTTAAATAAGTTTAGAGGTTAGATCTTTATATGTCCTGTTGTGTGCAGTAGGTTGGTGGTTCTGTGTCTTTTTCTGGATGAAGCGTGCCATTATGTAACAGTTGTGTTGCCATGATGAATGTATTTATTTGTGGTTAGATATCAATTTGGTGCAGTTATTTACATATTTGAAATGCAACTAAATTCTAATCGTTACAACTTATTATATAATTTATCAGACTAGCTGCATTTAAAAGACTAATGATCAGTTCACAAAAACATTTCGAACCCACATGAACAAAAGTTACCTTTTGTCTCTTGTATCTGGAAGCTCCCTGTCTAGTGGCAACTGGTTACTAAGGAAGACATTGTATCCATAAATCTGAAACAGAGCTTCAGCTTCCTTCTGTTCTTCTTGCGGCAGGTTATCCCCCCACTTGGCAAACAGGTAGGAGTTCGGATACAACTTTGGCACAACGATCTTCTCTTTTTCTTGGTCCACATTTGGAACAAGCTGATTGCTCTTTTGACCAGATACTTCTATCCGCTTTACTTTGGTGGATGAGTTCATAAAAAGACAGAGAGAGTCAGAGTGTCATTCACTTGTCATTCTCATAGTAGAAGTATAAAAATCGAAATATAAAAAGGTTATTAGTGCTGCATGCTCTTCTGATACTTGTTTTCAAGTCAACATGTTGCTACCAATTAGACTTCTGAACTCTTGCTATCTACATAGAACAATGTACATATGACCATGTGTTTGTGCCGGTTTGTGTCACAGTTCAGTCTGACAGATGTGAATACCTACCAGGAACTTCAGTTCCCAGGTGTTTTCCCTCAGTTTCTGTCCTGTTTTTGTTTTTACAGGTTTTTGAAGCAGAATCATAAAGTCTCAGGATACAAAACATTTTTCACTCAAGTTTAAACACTGTTAGCTCAGATAGGCCCATCTTCACCTCAGTTGGCTTATATTTGTGTCCATTTCATCTGTTCTTTGTTGTGCTCAGTCTGAACATCATACACACTGAGAATTCTTGATCCTGATTGGCTGGAAGATGTCCATTCATGTAATGAACAGTATAACTGGGTGTTTTGAGTCCAGGACTTATCACATTTTATATTGTGATACTGCTCATGCCTGGCATTGGCAGACAAATCTGGCAGAGCAAATAAAACATGAGCTCGGCAGATTCATCTGGTTCCCAGGCTATTTAACTTCAGTTAAGTATCTCAGCACATGTAGCTGTTTAATTGAAGGGAGATTTGGTTGACAGAAGGATGTTAAAGTGGTAATTTTGTTGTTGATTCTGGTGGCCCCTATGGACTAAAGCGGTAGCATTTCTACCTAGTCTCACTGATTTCAAGGGGAATCCGACTGAATCTGACCCGATGGAAGGCCTTAAGAGTACTTATGTAGAAATAGCCAATCTTCTTGCTGATGGTGCTTTGTAAGGTCATATAGAGGCATCGGGATAAAATTGAGAATGTTTGTAACTAGTCAAAAACTTGTAATAGGTTTAATTTGTATGCCAACGTAAGCCTATTGTCACTGATAATGTGAAGAATCAAACATTTGATAAATGATCAAAGCTAAAACTAACACACAGAGCACGGGTGTAAATGAAGTCTCTGTAAACAGCTGAACTAGTCAGATGAAACAACTTAGTAATGTCTGGTCCAAATTGAGACGTTGTCCCGCATTGTTATTGACAGTCAGACTCCAGTTTTGAAATGCGTGTTTTATAATCTGGCATTTATCAAATAGCTGTTTGGAGAAAGCAGTGAGGGCTGTCATCAGGGGGTGGGGCAGGCTGTTTGTTTAAGCGGATGAAGGGGGGGCCCACCAACAAGAAACAATGCAAATCAGGTGAGAATCAATGGAGGAATGCAGAACCCGTACGGCTAAGAAGAGGAAATGCAGCTACAATAAAGACTGGGAAACTATCTATCGCTGGGTGAAACCAGTACAAGGCGAGTCTGGTAAAGTTTTGTGTGAAGTTTGCTTGAGTGATTTTTCCATTTCACACGGAGGTGAATACGACGTGAAACGACACAGACAATATGAGACTGACAGAAAACATGTTGCTCAAGAGGAGGCTTCCCAGTCTATGCATACGTTCCTGCTAAAACCCAAACCAGATTGATTGATCTGAGATTGCGAAGAAAATGTCATGTGGTCGTACAAAGGCAGCATCCATAGTTACAGATGTGCTTGCACCTGCCTGTGTGGAGAGTTGTTTGAGAGAATGTTATTTGTTAAGTTTTTATTTGCAGGCTGTTATGTGCTACTGAATCAACCAGATGGCAAATCATAGTAATTGTCTATAAGCAAAGGGCAGAATAGAAATGTTTATTTTTTTAAAAGTTTTAAAAAACTAACTTGATGCATTGGTATCCCACATTGTCCCACATTGTCCCACACAAACGTATCTTTGTCCCACATCTGGTGAAGTGGGATCTGGTCACCCTAGGTCCAATACCTCAGTTAAATGAGGTAACCCAGTGTGAGATTGTTCTTAAACTGTTAGCCAAAGCTCTGCTGTGAACTAAAAATGCTCCACTGACTGAGTCAACAATACAGATGCTACACAGCAGTAAAAACTAGATGGCAAAGATGTATAATTTAACTGAAAATTCAAGGTGATTTACTTGTAGATAGCTGATTTAAACACCACAAACGCTTTTACTTGTGGAGTTACCAAATATTATAACAATATTCAATAAAATAACATCTTATTTTAAAATTACAAAGCAAGGCCTTTACACTGGACCTTGAAGTCTTTTAGAGGTTTGTCTGAATTGGTACTCACCCAGCTTGTTTAGGGTCTGTTCAATTCTGTCCAGCTTCCTCCTCACAACCTCTCGGTCTGTGAATCCCTCTGAAAAAGATTTGCCTGTTCTCCAACTCGCGATCATGTAGATAATGATGTATATTAAGAGTAAAACGGTTCCAATTATTCCAGCTTTTCGCAGATATGTCTTCATTGTGGTTTCCCACGTTACATCAATGTCAGTCTGTCCTCTGTGCCAGCACCTCAACACTTTACTGCTCAACATGTACAATAAACAGCTTATCTTAAAGATAACAATTCCAACCACATGCACCTTAAATCACTACTTTCTTCCTTCCTGACTGGGGGTGGAGGTGGAAATTTGACATCAAGCTATCAATAAAATGGTTTCAAAGTGCACAGTATTTACTCGGTCTACAAAGCTTATTTGACCGCCCCCCTTTAATATGAGCATGTTTTATTTTATGACATTAAATCACAATGAATGTAACCAGGGTCCAAATGTATGAGGAACCTTTTTTTTTTTTTATTAATGACAGCCTTTATTCTATGTATATTTCACTACTGATAGTACAGTATATTTAGCACTATCATTATACAGTATAGACATTAAATACATATTATACTTATGGTCCTATTCTGCTTTTATTTTTAACGCTTAGCCTAGTTTTTCCCTTTTGGGGTGGAGTTTTTCCTCATTTGCCTTTGCCTCACACTGCTGTAGGGTTAAGTATTGCATCAGCACAACACGCTATCTCCAGGCTTTGGGTGTGTTTCTGCTGATTAATTAACAACTATATATCAAGTGTAGTTAAACAATAAAATGTCCAACGGAGTGTATTCATACTCTCTAGAGACACTGTTATGGAAACATTGTGTAATAGAAATCAAAAACAACAATAATTACAAAAAAACACTCAAAACAAGAAAAGTCTTAAGAGGATTTTCTTTTTATTTATGTACACAATATAAAGAGCAGTCAGAGGTGTGGACATCCTCTGGCTGCCCCAGTGACGTTGGGAAGTTGTTGGGTAGTTTAATAGTTGACAGTCTTGGCTGGCTTCGTGTCATCTAGGTCAGCGTCCAGGTAACGGAATTTGCGGTGGCGACGCAGAATCTCAATAGCCTTTTGTTCTACAGTGGAAGGAGTGATACCAAGATCCTCCAGACCAGGAAGCCCCGGGTACTTCATGTCTGTCAGGTGAAGCTGGAAAATAAAAAGGTGCAGTACAGACTTAGAATTTGCGGAGTGGTGGCTGTACAGTTCTCTAAACCTCAAGTTTAAAAGTTATACCGGAGTCTCAGGTTACTCACCCTTTCGACTTTGTCTGGGGTTGTCCAGGGCTCAAATGGACTCATTGCGAAAAACGAAGCGACAAGGCTGAAAAGTAAAAACAGAAGTTATCACATGACTCTACAGTGATGTAGAACAACTGCACCCAACAGAACCCCTGAAGAGTTGTTTTTGAGAGTAATCTGAAACGATGTGTGTGTTGTTGGTGGAGAATAGTGACAAACGTGTATAAAGCACTCACTGATAGAGTGGGCGGGGAAGAGGGTAGGGCACAAATGGTCTGTGTGCAATTGCGTAGATGTACTCCACCAGGTCATAAAGGAGGTAACGGTTGGGACTGAACGAGAGAAAACAGGACAAAAATAAATAATGTAAGTATGTCCTCACAAGTGAAACAAATCCAGGACACAGAGACACATCAAGGTACCCATATGGTGAATAAAAAAAAATATTGTCATTAGCTTTTTCACCCCTCACGAAATTTAAACCTGTTGATGTTTGATTAAAAAAAAGCTTCATCATCACAGTACACTGTCTTGCTCAGCAGAAATCACGGTAATCATGACACAACCTTTGCTATAAATCTAAATCTCTAATGTATTTGTGCTTCGTGTCCAAACTGATTTCAATATTTACTGGCCTGAAGGCACACATTTTCAAACTATTTGGGTTCTGAGCACCTACCCAACTAATGCATACGTCTTTCCATTAGCATCAGGGTCTCTGACAGCATTGATAATGGCCTTGGCTACGTCCACCACCTGAGGGAGAAAAGAGGCAGTTTAGTTGGGTTTATTTGACGGGCAGTGAGGTGTGTATTGTTACTGTGTAAATATTGGAAACGATTCTAGGATTCTGCGATTCTAAATGTGCAGCTCTGATCCAATACACATCGTTTTGTGAAATTCAGCAATATCCTCACGGTGCACTACCTGTTGTTCTGGCTCTGTACCAGGTTGGACCGAGCCATTTCTTTGTGTCGGGTAATAATTACTTGGACTTTCAGCTTACTTTCTAGTTTGTCAAGATATCCTGCTGTTGTAATGGCTGCAGTGGCAGAAAAGATTACTAATATAACTGCCATGGTGTCACAAAATATAACAGTTAAGTCATTGTAAGCAAACACGTTTTAGGAGCGGCAACAGGAATAGCTAAGGAATGTTTTGTTTGAATGCAAACTTACACAAACAGGCTGCTTCACAGTCTTCTTCCCCATAGACATGAGTGGGACAACCCTGCCAAACCAGCGCATGTCTGAAAAATGATTCAAAGCCAACATCACATTTTGACATTTGACTTTACTGTGAATACCAAACGGGAACATGTTCTGGATCACTCAATCGTTGAAATGTTAAAATTCAGGAATATTTCCACTTGGTGATTGCTTGAGTAACTCTATACAAAAAATAATCGAGGAATTTCCTCTGCCTCGAAGCCTCGTTTAATTAAATTTAAAGCTCACGTTTCAGTGAGCAAACACAGCAAAGAGGAAGTAATAGGAGGAAGAGA